ATATGATTGTTGTGACCAAGTAACATGGTTAAAGAAATAACAAGTGTTACAGATATATCATATATTAAACAATAAGTACAAATGAAGAGTATTACACGACTAGTGAGTGTGTGTCGGTTGACCAAGCGTTCAATCTATTCGACTGTTTTATTTACCAGCCTCTCCACGAGGTAGGATATGGCACAAAGCCGAGTTTAATGTGGGGCAATCCTAGCCTGTAGGCGCGGTCAAAATTCCCCACAGACCCCGTATAAAACGGGGTCCGGTAGCTGTTTCCCGAGACGCGACTCTGCCCTTCGACATAGCCTCGTTTGGGGATTCACTCTGCCCGAAGGCAGAGATTTTTGACCAGACTGTTAATATTTAACAGCCCCCTCGACGGGGGATGTATGTGGCACAAGACCGAATTTACCGTGGGTTCTCCGAGCCCGTAGGCTGGGCCCAAAATATTCCCGTAGAACCCGCATAAATGGGTCCGGGCCTGTTTACCTCGCCGGACGAAACTTTGCCCTTCGGCAAAGCCTCGCCCGGTTTCCTCTCTATCAAAGGCAGAGAGTTCGATAGTTGAACAGTTTAGATCACTGTTCCCCAAAGGCCTTCTCTCCTACTAATTTTATCGTAGGCGGAAGAGTCCAAAATAGACTCTTCAATGGAAGGACACCACAACAATGATAGACACCCGGCAAAGGCTGAAAAATGTGTCGGTTGAAACAACAATGGGTAAAGAATATTGGCTTTTTGCTCTCGCTTGGTAGGATTATTGAATGATGGTCTGATGATCTTCTTCAGATTATTTTTCTAACCTTTGCTGATTATTTGAAGTGGAGATAATTTTTTGATAGAGGACGAAAACTGCGATACTGAAATCCGAAAGCGCATTTGGATAGCCAAAGATGCCTTTGAAAAGCTAAGCAGAGTATCAAGAAACAGGAAAACTTCGCTCGAAACAAAGAAAAGAATACTGAACTGTTACGTGATATCGGTCCTCCTGCCTGGCAGTGAATGCTGGACAATCTCTTCAGTGATGAAGAAGAGACTTGAAGCAACAGAAATGTGGATATACAGAAGGATACTGAGGAAACCATGGACTGAATATATGTGCAACGACGTTTTAGAGAAAATGGAAACTAAAAGAAATCTTATACTTAACACAAGGACAGTTGAAATTTCAAGAACACAATGAAGGGAAAGAGGGCTCGGAAAATCTAATATTCACAGGGCAGATGGAAGGCAAGTGGGAAAGAGGAGCTTGTTCAAATGGATGGCGGAAGATTGTTAAGGAGAAATAACAGAAATATGCAATTTATTAAGAGCTACAAAAACAGGAAATTGTTGAGAGCCATGATCACTTATGTCCTCAGGGTACGGCACATGATGATGAAGAAGATATTCCTCGGTAGCTTAGCGAGCTAAGCACGTCAAGACAACTTTGGATATGTTTTTGCATGAGCCTTCTCGCGGGACTCTGGGAATAAGACTCCTCGATGGTATTGATATTTACCTATATCTGTATGTGGGTGGGTAGCCTTTAGTACCCCCCCCCCTCTGAGTACTAGGAGAGAAATTGATCATATATTGCCTAAGGGCATACATAAAACTGTCTCATTTAGAATCTGAAATGAGTTCACCGATTCCATTTGAAAATATGGATTACTTCCGACAAAGTGATTAACTAGGGCAATTTTTATAAATTTAACGTTTCGGAATCTATTTAGCTTCATCAGCTTTTTTTTAAGTGGAATAATGCAGTTATATTTCAGTTTTTAAATTCTATAAACAAGCCCTTGGTATCAATAAAATAAAATAAAGATAAAATAGGAAGGCTGGAGAGTATATCGTCTGAAATGATTTCTTATATACAGTAAATATGAAGACATTAATCAAAAAGTATTGAACTATAAAAAATAGTTTTGTCTTTTAATTTTCGCCACTACCGGAAAGCCGAAAAATATATGATAAAAATAATAAATATGAAGATAATCGTTTGAATAATATATGAAACATTAAATATGCCTCTTATTAATATTTAAAGCTGAGCTGAGCCTAGTAATAATTCGCTGCATTGGAGGGTGCTGATTGAGGATCGTACTTAGTGACGAATGTACTGAACTCTGAACTCCAGTAGATGGGGAAAAAAATCTAAGGTGAGTCGTCATTTTCTTACTTTAAACGTTTGTCTATCCAAATCGTTTGTCTCCCTTGCTTAACATCGCGTATCATTAATATTTATTCTTGCCGATTGACAAAACGGAATTGAACTTAATGTTAATCTTGCTTCATCTTCAAAATCTCCAAAACAACTCGGCAAAATGAAGAACTGTCTTATAGATTTTGGGAGAAAGAAGGCGATACATTGTTTTCTTACCAAGAAATTAAGTACAAGCAAACTCTTGGAGAAGGCTTCCGGATAGATGGACATTTTCGTTTCATAATGGCGCTCGGAAAATTGCAAAATCCAATGATTTTATCTTATGCTCTTTTGAGCTGAACTGTCTTGAAAATGTTAATATTATTCGCAGATAATTATATATTTCTTCTAGATAATTATATATTTCTTCTAGATAAATATATATCTGTTCTGTATGTTATATATCTGTTCAATTTTAAGCTTATTACTATTTATCTATCTCACGCTGTTTATATCTATCTATCTATCTATCTATCTATCTATCTATCTATCTATCTATCTATCTATCTAAGGCTGTTCATATCTATCTATCTCAGGCTGTCCATATCTATCTATCTATCTATCTATCTATCTATCTATCTATCTATCTATCTATCTATCTATTCCCGTCAGTTAATTATCTATATCTATCTATCTATCTATCTATCTATCTATCTATCTATCTATCTATGTCTGTCTGTCTCTCTATCTCAGTCTGTTCATATATATCTATCTATGTATCTATCTAAGGCTGTTCATATCTATCTATCTATCTATCTATCTATCTATCTATCTATCTATCTAAGGCTGTTCATATCTATCTATCTATCTAAGGCTGTTCATATCTATCTATCTCAGGCTGTCCATATATCTATCTATCTATCTATCTATCTATCTATCTATCTATCTATCTATCTATCTATCTATCTGTTTCAATACGTACACTTAACATATTTTTATACCTAATGAAACATTGAGTAGCACCGTACGCTAAGAAATATAAATGGATGTATATATATATATATATATATATATATATATATATATATATATATATATATATATATATGTATTTAGCTCGATTGTTTTACATTGGACACTGTACCTTTTCTTTTACTCCCAACACAATATATACTATATTTGACATTTATCTCTACATATATTGATATGTTCAGTGATTACGAGTTTGTAAATATATCCATAGTCTGACATGTACTTATTAACTGATTTTAGTCCGACCTGATTAAAATTCTTCACTGAATGAACTGCGTTGACAAAGAATAATACTATGTTGAAAATAAATACTTGTTGGATAAAATAAACGGTTTATTTATCATTAGACTGCGGATTAAAAGACATAGGTATACCTCACCCTTCGTCGTTAATTGGTTCCAAATGTCATGACTTGGGTCGAATAACGACATAAGTCGAAATACCACACTATAAACTGCAAATAAGCACTTTCCATTACTTATTATAAGATTCTGAATAAAATATTTAATTTTCTCCTTATTTTCCAGCGATATAGACTTACGCTTAGCATTAGCACCTGCGCTGGAACTTTTAATTGAAACAACGGACAAAAATGCATTCTAAATCACAATTGTGTAACTGAAACAACGTCAACGACAGAGCACAGATGTAAAAAAATGTCTGAATTCAAAATCGGTTTTGGAGCGGAAAACAACGCACGAGTGCCGACAGGAATTTGAAATAAGAACACCTGTTGAATATATATATATATATATATATATATATTATGCTATTTTTTGTTTTTGATGATTTTATGTATATATATATATATATATATTTATTAAAGACATTTTATTTATGTTTAACGTTGTTATTTTATAGATACAAGTATTTAAGCAAATGCTCTGTTTAAGATAAACAGTATTAAATAACATTTACCGGCCTGAATGTCGAGAAATTTTCATACGGAAATATTCGTTCATAGACATGTCATTCGAACCTGCATCCTATACGGATATAGTGGTTAAGGCATGTCAGCGTATATGAACGAAGTTCCGTATAGGATGCAGGACATTCAGGCCGGTAAATGTTATTTAATACTGTTTATCTTAAACAGAGCATTTGCTTAAATATTTGTATCTATAAAATAACAACGTTAAACATAAATAAAAATGCCTTTTAATAAATAAATTGTCGGACCTTGTCCATTTCTTAACATATGACGTCATTTGTTTACATTCGATACGCCAGAGCAGTTATGAATGTACGAGATTCATGGAAGATTGTAGTTTATAACAGTAAATTCGACCGTGTCTACCATAAGGTTCATGGTGGCCGAGTGGTTAAGGCATGTCAGCGTATATGACAGTTCCGTATAGGATGCAGGTTCGAATCCTGTCTATGAACGAATATTTTCTATGAAAATTTCTCGGACATTCAGGCCGGTAAATGTTATTTAATACTGTTTATCTTAAACAGAGCATTTGCTTAAATACTTGTATCTATAAAATAACAACGTTAAACATAAATAAAAATGTCTTTAATAAATAAATTGTCGGACCTTGTCCATTTCTTAACATATATATATATATATATATTATTTTAAAATCTATTTAAATATGATTTTATATGTGTTTATTGATATTTTAGTGTTTTGACGTTTTTAATATTTTTAACGGCCGACGTAAACTCGAATACAGGGATCTAAAACGAGTTTTATTTCTCTATATAATATTTAAGAAAAACCGACGTATCTTCGAAAATGACTTAACTCGAAACGACTTAAGACGAGGTATCACTGTATATCAGCGGTAAAGCTTGTGGTTAAATATTTACTGAGATTGCTTAATTGTTGGGAGTTTGGCGAATATTACTAGGCAGAGTGGCCAAGTTGATGGGCCAAGTTCAAATTTCGGACTAATTTGTTCTGTTCATTTTGAACTGACAGGAACCCGCTTCTTCTCTCCTCCCTTCTATTTATGAAATTGCAGGGCAGACTGGAATCTGTAGCCTTGGGTGGTAACCAGTCTAAAAGAAGGGAAGCTCTGAAACCAAAACGATGGAGAAGGTAACGAGAAAAGAAACTACTATCCAACAACATGAGGTTTCACAGATAATAAAGAAAAGGAATGTGTGGAGAGCCATATATTGCTGGAAAGAAAACTGTACCGAACAAAATCTTAGTATACATTGCACCTCAAAATGTTTAAGAACATTTAAACTGGAGAATAGACATTAATCATGTGAATCTTAATATATAAACATTAATCAGGTGAACCTTAATTTATAATTAAGTACAAACAATTTATGATTGAGGACACGGAAACAATTTCCTCAAATCATGAAAACAATAAATAAAAAAAAAATCAACATTTAGGAAAAGAAACAAATATGGAGCCCATTGCGTGTGAAAAAATGCCATCACTAAGTCTGTTTTCAAGGATTACTTGAAAATCCAAAAATGGGATTGGTTCAAAGAAATGGAACGAGGACGTTCGCCTGGATGATACTGATTCAGAATACGATTTTATTCGCGTGACTTATAGATTTTGATAACATTTCGGACACACACACATTTATTTTACGAGGGGTGCTGAAAAACTTTTGTTCTGCGTAGACAGCCCTTCACAAAAATATGTTTTAGCATTTGGTTAGATTTACATATATGAGAGAAAATGATCTATCAACTCTTATGTACCAGAACAATTTTAGGATAATTAGGAAGTGAGAAAAGAAATACAGTGTCGCTCTTCTCCTTCTTGCGCAGATGCAGTTACATCAGCATAAACATCCCTTCAGTCTAATGGTGTCCTAACAGACAAAACGAGTCACACGTAAAATCTGTCCCAGTATGTCATTAATTTTCCGAAATAGTATAGAGAAAGGTAAAAATCAATTTCTTCTTCCCTACACATTCCCCACATTGAATAGCCAGAGAAACTGAGCTATCTCGCCTTGGTTGGTAGCCAGTGTAAGAGAAGAAAAACGTGAAATCAAACCTAAAGAGGGTTATTACGAAGCTTCGTGTCACAATGCCCACTATTTCTCTGTTATTCCTTCCGAAAGGTTTGACTGGTTCTACAAAAACTCTCATCCTAGGAATCAAATCATATGTGTATTCTATTCTAATAGTTTCTATTTTAGCGCTCCTTAAAATTCCTTCCTAGTCGTTCACTATGAGGAATCAAATATCTTCATGTATATTTTTAAAAAATATATTGTGATGAAAAACTTCATAAAATAAACGTTTGTTTGAATATAATAAAAGAAAAGCATTTTGAGACAGTTTTCTTTGTTGACTCCTTAATGGGCAGAACACTGACTCCTCATCATCTCCCTCTGCTCGTTAGAACATTAATACTCCTTTTGACTGTATTCATCAACGATATAAGATAAAAAAGAAATGGAAGGTTTTTCTACGTAAGGAATCGGGAAAACGATCCGTCTTTTATAAGAGAGTTTGATCTTCCATACATATAATTATACACACAAAACATCCTTTACAAATAGTAAATATGCAAACAGAACAATGCTTTAAAAACATATATGGGGAATTAAAAACTAAAACCAAATTACACCAAAAATATAAAGATATGCAAAGAAAACATCATTAGCCTACAACAATAAATCCCCAAACTGTAAACTTTGTCTGAAGTTGAAAATAGCCATAATCACTTCCCCAGACCAACACAAATTGCGAATAAACGATCCGGATTTATTTTAAAATGCGAAAACGAAAGCAACATTACTTAAAAATCTTACTTGTAAAATATCACCAAAAATGCAAATATATGCACTATATTTTAACGCAGCATACCTTAAACTTAACATACTTTAAACAAATCCAATACTATACAAATAAGATAAAATTAACATCTATACAAGCAAAATACATGTCAGCTATAAGCAAGGAAAATTTTCTCTTAGAAATATAAAAGTACACAACCCCAATCGATTCAAACAAGAAAAACGCTAAACTTATAATATCAAAATAACATACCAACAAAATCAAAACTGTAAAGAACCAACATTTACAACATTTACAAATTCAAATGACTCCTAAGGAATTATGTTCCTGATCAAACCAATCTCATAATTACATTGGTCACACTACTACATGCCTATCTAGACGGCTTACGCTATATCTAACCGACCATATCTCCATTATGACTCATTTAAACACACACAAAAATCTACCAGACACCATCAGAAACATACTAATAGAAAATACAAGTATAATAACATCATCCACATGTAAAAAAGATTGAAAATAATGGAAGCACTAATAATAAAAAAGGAAAAGCCAGCACCGAGTAACATTAACTATGAACACGGCCACAATGTGCTGACCGTGTTCGGAAAATAAAACATTCCTATAACTTTAGACACATACATAAAAACACATATTTAGTTAAAAAAAATAATCCTTGATAATGGCTAAAAGAATAGCCGTAAACAGTCGGATATGCAGAACTTTTGGACAGTTTTTTACACTTTGTGTCCAGAAAAGAACATAAGAAAAATTAAATAAAAAGTTTAATCGCAGTTCTTTATCAGTCGTCTTTAACGAAACTTGTATAAAAGAGTGACTGCAGCCTAAACACACACAATACATATATATATATATATATATATATATATATATATATATGTGTGTGTGTGTGTGTGTGTGTGTGAAATACATTTGACCTACATTATTTGTTTTGCATCTTCAGTATCTTTCATACTCTCTACATATACGTGCATTTTGAAATCAGAGAGGATTGGCTGATTTTTACAGTATAGCAACATTCTTAGGTTATTTAACGCCGAAAGATATTGTTGGATTGCAAGAATAATTCTTTTTGTAAGTGAATATTTTATTAACAATTTCTTCGAGGTAATAATGATTTTCAGACACAAGTTCAACTATTTAATCCATAGCTGGGGAGGAATGATAAGTTGATACATTTCTAAGTATCTTTAATTACAACATTTCTCAAAATTATCATGGA